AAATTCATTTGTGGATATTATTTTTTTTGATTTAGGCCTTCGATTAGAAAAATAATCTTGGATGTGTATTACATTGGAAATTATTTTCAAAATGATTGGTTTATGGTATAGGAGGCAAATTATTGAAATGGATTGCAGATTTTTTATATTTATGTAAACAACAAGTTCTAATGGGTGATTTAATATCAATTAGATAGATAAAGGTGATTGAACAGGGTGATTGATGGTTTATTTGGTTTATTTATCGTTTTAATTAAAAGGTTTGAATGAGATCATCTCAAATAATTCAAAATTTTTTAAATTGTAAATATGACACAATTTTTATCATTAATAATTAATTAAAACAATAATAATTTATAGTGGTTTAAAGATTGTTTAATCAACATCAACAAATGCAAAGTTATGCACATAGGTAAACATAACTTAATGTACAATTACATCATAAATACAGTAATACAGTAAATATGGTAGTGGTGTAATTGTAAAGCGCTCTCCTCATAAGCAAGAGGTTCTGAGTTCGATCCCCACCACGTTTCTGGTAGTACCATGCTTATCTTGTTCCTCTGCACAGGCGTCTTATTCGTCGAGGTTCGTGTTTTAGAGTTATAGAATTGAGAGAGGGTTGTAACCAAAAAAGTAGCCTCTTTGACTCTAGTGGCCTTCTCGGCCTTGGGGAGGTAAATAATAATAATAATAAAAAAATGGCACACAACTAGTCTTATAATCATCAAATGAAGAAATAGATTTAAGAATCACAATAAGATACAATTTGAAATGGAAAATGCAAGTATTAGACGTATTTAATAAAGCAAATACCACTGCTCTAGCAAAATGAACATTTGGCATAATAAGTGCACAAATGATAGAAATTTTGTATAAATCATATATGCAACCACATTAAGAATATGTTATTGTACTCTTGAGTCTCTAATAAAAACGGGGGGGGGGGGACATTTATTAGTTTTTTGAAAATTTTTCCACCCACCCCAAGCTTGTTAAGACCCTTCTTACTATTCCCCCTTCCCCCTCTCTTTTTTTCCTTTCCCCTTCCCCTGTTTATTAACTTTTACTTATCAAAAAAATAAAGTCATTGAAAATCGACCTTAAAAATTAGAAATTTAGTTACTGATAAAAACTAATTTAGTCACTGATAAAAAAAATTTTTAGTGTAAAAAGGCTTTAAAAATCACCAACCAAGTAAATTCGATTTATTGAAAATAAGCTTTTAATTTATTTCTCACAAAATAAAATTTACACATTAAATCCTATTGAAGTTATAACATATTAAATCCTATTGAAATTATTATAAAACAGCTGTTAGAAAATGCACATTTGACCGCAA